ATATGAAATATAAAACCAGAGGTCATATCTTGGCAGGATGAACTTGTCGGTGAGAGAGAAGGCAAGTGAGCAAAAAGCAAATCTCCTCTCTGCCAATGGCCTTTTATATGGGCTGCCATATAAAAGGTGTTTTTGAAGCATTCAGGCTTCATAGTTGGATAAGGTTAATGATTAATTTTTTCTTCCAGTAGCATATGTAGCATCTTTCAGTGCTATGAATGCTAGCCAGTAGAGATGATGCTCTGAAGTCAGTACCAGCTTAATTTCTCCTATGGTTCATGTATATAGTATCTTCAGCAATAGAGTCATACCATCAAGTTCTGGTTGGTAGCCAAGAACAGGATTAATAGCCAGTAGTATTTGAGAATCTACAGGACCTTTGTTCAACAACTTCAAAAGAGGGAGTCCATTTCTGGCCTTGGGCTCTTTATTTGCTGATGCTCTGAAGTCAGTACCAGCTTAATTTCTCCTATGGTTCATGTATATAGTATCTTCAGCAATAGAGTCATACCATCAAGTTCTGGTTGGTAGCCAAGAACAGGATTAATAGCCAGTAGTATTTGAGAATCTACAGGACCTTTGTTCAACAACTTCAAAAGAGGGAGTCCATTTCTGGCCTTGGGCTCTTTATTTGCTAACCTATGGTGCCGAGTAGGTTCAGTGTCGCCCTGTTCTAAGGTACCATTATATATATATATATATATCCTATCTATATCTATATCTATATATCTCATATATATGGCTTTATTAGATTAGCTTTAGGATAGAGTCTGAGTAGTCCAAATATTGCTGTACCATACTGGAGAGTCTGAGAATCCGAATCCGGTAGTTGCTCTGTTCACAAGGCTGGATGTCTCAGCACTCCTGATCTGGTGCTAAAGACCTGGAGGATTCCTGGAGATCTGCTAGTCTTCAGTCTACATTGGAATCTGAAAAAGTTTGTTTTACTATCAGGGAAGGAATGCCATAACAACAAGATGAACTTGTCAGTGAGAGAGAAGGCAAGCAAGCAAAAAGCGAATCTCCCTTCTGCCATGGTCTTTTATATGGGCTGCCATCAGAAGGTAATGCCTGCATTTAGGGTGGGTCTTCTAGCTTTAAGTGACCCAATCAAGAAAGTCTCTCTCATTTCAGTTAATTCCAGATTCAGTGAAGTTGACATACATACTTTAAGAAACTTCTGTGGTTAGGTTTCCATATAGCGCTTTCTTTAGTGCTAGTTAACCTCCCTCATACTGCCTCCTCCACCTGCCCTCCCATTTCCCATCCCAATTAATCCTTCCTTTTCCATTATTACCCTCCCCACCCCTGTAATATCACTGCATTTCATTTTCCTTCCCATGAAGCAACCCCCATCATTGGTCACTTGTTGACCTCTCTGGATTTCTAGGAAATTCTTTAATCGAAGTTCTCTCTATCCAGGTGACTCCAGGTAGTGTCACATTGACAATAAAAACTAGCCAGGACAATCTACATTGTGTTTCACTAGGGAACAACAGTGAGTCCACAGGCTAAGAACTGGCCAACTTTAGAAGGTTCTGAGGCACAGGACTATCCTAGTTGTCTGGTATGTGGTCCTGGAGTATGCAGGAGAGGTAGATAGTATCCTATAGATACTATGGGATGAAAACCCTACAGAAGAGGTGGTTGGGGGTATGGGCTCTGATGGGTTAGTTTGTGTTTAAGAAACAATGCTATGAGCTATTTGCTATGTCTAGGGATTGGCTGATCCTGGGAGAGCTTCAACAAGGTCCTGACACTAAAGTGCAGAATATAGAAAATAACAGACATTGTTAGTACAATAAAGCAACTGAGAAGTAGGCAGCACCATTTTTTTTTCAAAGCTTTCCATAAAAGATTGAAATAGTCTGCATTTGAAATCATTGACCTCTAATGGGCACATAAACTAGCCTAGTGTGGAAGTGAGTCTCTTCATTGCAGGAACATGAAGTGCCCTATGCCTCACTTGGAGCACAATTGAAAATCTTTCTCTCCAGAAGGGCTCATATGCATAAGTACAAAACCTTATTCATGAATAATAAACCCCAATGGAGACTTTTAATCATATTTTTAAGGGCTGCCATTTCAAAGTAACCCAGTAGAACCAAAGCCTTTATTATATAAGGGATGTTTTTATGCCAAGATTGTTGATGCCACACTTTGAAAGTGAATATTTGGCGGGCTTGCATAAGTCAGACAAACAAAGAGATGTCAAAGACAGTCCCCCACTGGAAAATGCTGTACAGTGTGGTGTTAAATGCGGTTCCTGTCTCAACCCCACATGTTGTGGCTCTGAACTCTGCTTCCCCTTTACTCTCTTGGGTTGCCCTGCCAAGAACAGGCAGTCAGAGAGTTACTCATAATACTGAGTTTCACGATATCATTTTTAAATTATACTTTTATTTACTTATATATGTGTATGTGCACTCAAACACCATGCCATGTGTATAGGGGTCAGAGGACAGCTAATGAGAATTGACTCTCTCTTTTCACCATGTTGGGCCTGGGGATCAAACTCAAGGGCCCTTACCCACTGAGCCATCCCACTGGCTCACTATATGCCATTCTTACCAGTTTACGTTTCCCATGAATTCTCTAGCATGAGATGACTGAGCAACTCTGTGCACAGCACCCATGAATATAGGAAGAATCACTGAGTGGCTGGACAAGGGCACAGATTCTGTATTTGACCTAAAACAACAACAAAGAAAAGCAATGAATAAAAAATGTTTTCAAAACAGGAGGAGCTTTAACCCTCAGGAGACCCTGGTTCCTGGGTTTGCTGGATCAGCTTAGTCTGAATCACTGAGTTAGTGCTCAGTGAAAACTCAGCTTTTGGAAGCAGAGCTCATGCTTTTCAAAGCCAGTGCTGGCTCTGGGAGCTCAGGGTATCCTAGTGCAGCACAGTGGCCAGAAAACAGGGCCAACAGTCCACTTGTGTCCAAAAGTCTAATACTCACGTTGGAAAACTTCTCTTAGGCCATCTATCTAGTTTGAAGCAACACTTCTCAACTCTAAACACTTGGGCTCTACTGATCCCACGCAATTTTAGCCTGTATCTGAGGGATAGCCTGCCACTTTAGTGGATGTGTATGCATGAGGTGGAACTGTATCAATGAAGAAACCATTCGCACTCTCGCTCATTTGCCAGTGGACACTGGGAGACAAGGAAAGGGAAGCCTGCAGAGGAGCTTGTCCACCCTGCTCAGATTTCCGCCATCACAAAGCCACCTAGGGTCCACAGTCCATCTGGTCACACCAAAGTCACCTCCAGGAGTCCATGGTGCCATTCATTTCTTAAGAAAACAAAAAATAAGAGATTACAAGGATTGCTAAAGCTTTCATTTTGCTATGTGGAAATTTCTAAAAATGCCATATACTCTCCCCATCATTTGATAGAAAGTGGACATCTTAACATCGCTCCGTGTTAATTCATTGCTTTAAACATTCGCATTTCCTCACTGGTGAAAGTGTTGACTCATTACTAGTTTAGATTGAAATAATTATGATTATTTATTGAGTGCTTACTAGGCACCTGGCTCTCTTCTCCCCAGACATCTCTCATTTTCTATTTAAGTTCTTTGCTCCCACTGGCCTCTTGCAGCAAAGACAAATTCTCATTTCCATCAACTTATTCCACAGATAGTGTATTGCTCAGAGCTTGTGTTGATGAGTATTCTGAGGATTAAGCAAGCCTCAGCTGCCAAGAGTATGCTTGTGATTGATTAGCGATGCCTGAGAGGAGATTCTGGGGAAGAACTGAGAGGGCGTGGGTAGGAGAGTAGAGTTTGTCCACTTGGAATGCCTCTGCAGAAGAGGTTTGGAATCCTCTTCGTGGGTGGGGCCCTCCACAGCTTGGCTTTGCACGCCTTTTCAGACTCACCTTCTGCACCTTCTCTTGACTCAGCGCCAGCACGCCCCCTACTGTAATGAGCATGTGAATTTCCGTGGGCGCTTGTTAAACTGCACAATCCTTATGCAGTAGTCTGAAGTGGTCTCAATGGCCCATGTCATAGATCAGAGGATCACACTATGAGTAGCCAGCTCCATGGCACATCAGAGGATCGCCTATCTGCTTGCTTCCAGAACCTACCCTGTGCTCGCAACATTGGTCAGTGTGAACTGCCATTTCCTCTTCACCAGCCACCAAGTTCTTTGCTAGGCATTATCTTGTTTGTGTCTGACAACAAACTCTTAGGAAAGTAATCTTACCATTCCGTTTTATGAATGAATAAAACCAGACTCAGAGGTAAGTAACATTCTCAAGACTCTGTGATTACAAGGGACTTGAGCCCAGGCCGGTTGAGCCCACAGCACAAACCCCAACTCCTGACCACTCAGCCTGAGGACTGGGAACTTGCTAGAAATTCAGTCTCAGGCTCTGCTGGGACTCACAGAATCAGAATGTGTATTTTATCCTGGGTAATCCATGTGTCCGTAAAAATTCCAGGGGACCTGAAAGCCTCTTTTGTCCTCCGCGGGCACTGCACGACTCGGGTGCACTTACATGCAAGCAATACACACATACACATAAAATAAAAATAATAAATAAAATATTTTTTAAAAATGTAAACCACCACTTGAAAACACTGGGATTTCATATTTTCACAAGGCAGTATTTCAAAATAGGCAGCCTTGGCTCACAATTTTTATCACACTGTTTCCATCAAGGACATTTTTCCTTATTTGTAATCCTCTCAAGTCTTGACCCTAGAAGCTTGACCCTAGGGCATTTTTACTAGGTTGCTGAGGAAAGTTCTTGCTGGGCAGAAACAATCATCACAGAATAAATCTGACAATGACTAAGGCTAAAGCAGTAAAACTTGTTATAAATGAAAAATCTGTCTAAAGGATCACATCGATTTGGTTATATTGGATCCTGCAAAAATTGGCTCAGCAAAAAATTAGACTTGGTAGAAATAATCAACATGAAATAAAACTGTCAACAGTTAAGATTGCACATGGCAAAATACAGACAAAAAATGATGGAACAATCAAGACTTCTTAACTAAGAACCAGCAAAACTGCAATCAGAAACAGTGTATGAAATGCTGTCCTTTAGAGAAAAACTCACAAAGTAGAGATTGTTTTTCTGAAACTATTTCTAATTAGCATGAGCAACACAGTGGCAGGCTGCATGAGGGCAGGGACTGGTCTCTGGCTTGTCTACGGCTCTGTATAGAACATCTAGCGCTGAGCCTCCTGGCACATAACTGTAGCTTAGACAAAACTGTGTTGCACAAGATCTTAGCATTAATTGGGAAAATAATCTGATTTTAAAAATTAGAATCAAAGTGAAAATGAAAAAAAATCATTGGAAAAGCTTTCAGGTGTGTAACCTATTTTCTAAGAAGTAAAATGACTTAGAATTTCATCCATAAATATTTCTTTTCTCCAACAAAAGCTGAGCTGATTGCCACGGGTGAATATGGATTACAGGGTCTTAAATGTGAGTCTATGTCGGCTAGAAGGGAGAGATTACATCATCTGCCCAACCAAGAGTAAAGTCAAATTATTTTTTAAAACAACCCATGTTCCTTCCTTCTGACAGAAAGATCTTAATTTCTTATTCCAAGCCTAACTGAAATTTAACATCTTGCGTTTGGGCATTAGCCAATCCAAAGCAAGACCTTTGACCAAAATGTTCACACCCTTATCATTTTATCCCAAGAAAGAGCTCACTCCACTGCCGACCTCTCAAAGTTCATCAAACTGAAGAAAACTTCTGAGCATGGTACAGCAACTTTCCAACATCTGAGAGAATTGAGAGAATTTCTTATCATTTCATTACAGTGTGGCTCAGAAACCCAAGTCACCAGATCTTTACTGAATTCACAGTATACATTACTAAAGATAATATATGAAATTAATTTTATGTCATAGATTGCATTGATAGTGACCTTTGAAAAAAGTCATGGAACAAAAACCCAGCACAGAATTGTGGAAATGGACAGCAGGTACCAATCTTAGTGGAAGAATTATTGGCAGCTGATTACTACTGGGTGAGGAAGAGCTGATCTTTTTAAAGGGAGGGACTCTAGATAGGCTGACTAGATCTCAGTGGATGAACTAGTACTGAGGGACATCTGGGAACACTAGCATGACATGATCGACCTTAACACAGTGACAAAATATATGAACTCCAGTTGGGGGGGGCTATGGGTGGGTCCCGATAGGGAGCAAGGTATAAAGTTGATTAAGATGTTCTGTATGAAATAAACAAAAATTCAATTAAAAATTTTAAAAAGAGTCATGAAGTAACTATCTCAGCTATTTTCCATGTTTTAGAGAATTATTATTATTATTATTATTATTATTATTATATTTTAATTATATGTATGTGGGGGGATGTGTGCACATGAGCATAGGTACCTGAAAAGGTCAGAGGCATTGGGTCCCATGGAGCTGCAGTTGCAGGCAGCTGTGAGCAGCCTATCATGGGTGTTGGGAACTAAGTTTGGGTCCTCTGCAAAAGCAGTGTATGTGCAGAAAGTTATCTTTTCTTTGTATCATTAAAAACTTTAAAAAATATCACCCACAATAAAGAATTAAGGTGAGAAATACTCAATATGAAATAAAATTCCTCAAAGTCAAATTATATAAAGAAAGATTGGTTTTGATTAAAATTGATGGAAAATACAAAGTTTTTTTCTAATTTAAGTTTTAAATAAGTTAACTTGAGAAATTGAACTTCATGGAGCCTTTTTAAAAGTAGCATAGCAAACTTTGTAGGCATAATATCTATAATTTGCGTGATTAATATGGAGCAAAGCACTCAAATGCTTAATAAAACTAGGGCTAAAATTTATGCCCCAAGAATTGGCTCTGATAAAGGGAATGCCAGTCAAACAGAAATAGAAACGCGGACTAACTGGAAAATTTCAATTGCCTTATTTAGAAAATTGATCCAAAAGCCTTTTATGGATGAAAATTCATCAGTGTTGCTTAATTTATGCAATGAATATTTATTAACCATTGATTATGTCCTGGGCTATAGAAAGTGGACAGTGAGTGGGAAAGGGTTCCTCCCTTAGGAAATTAACATTCTATACAGAATTATTCTTTGCCTAAAATCAACAAATTAAAAAAGTGAGCTATATTTGAGGAGGAAGCATAAAAATTTACATCATGTTAATTACTAGAGGTGATAAACATTACCATTGAAATCTGCCCGATGACTTTATAGCCATACACGGGTGCCAAGGATCCGAGTGCAACAGACCATGACTAGTAATAATCAGATACATACAGATTAGAGACACATGTACCAAGATCTAAGTGTTAAAAACTCATTCAATTTTATCTTACAGGATTTATACTGAGTTCAATATTGTATAACTGTATTAATTCAACTGTGAACCTAAAAGTTTTCTAGCCAGTTTTGAAAGAGATGTATCTTTGCTCTGGAAATTGTTATTAAGTATGTTAAAGCTGTAATGAAATGCTTCTAAAAAATAAAAAAAAGAACATAACTTAAAAAATATTCATATATATATACACAATATCTTCTTAATTTATCAAAAGGCATCTAAGTTGAATCAATATTTTGGCTACTGTAAATAGTGTTCCAAAAAACACATGACTGCAAGTAAAAAAAAAAAATACCGGTATTTGTTCATATAGTCCACATATTCGTGGGGTCACAATCACATCTCCTCTGTGTTCCTTAATCATTTCTTCTGGGAAGAAATTTAGAACTAAGTATTAAGAGCATAAAACAGGTTTGAACTTCTTGATTTGGCATTTAAATTTTAAAAATATGTTCCATAAAGACATAGCTAAATATCAAAGAGCCAGATCCTGAAATGGTCATTAAAATTATGTGTAATAGATAAAGTTGAAGAATACCCCTAAATACAGACTACCAGGGAACTACTAAACGGTGTGATGTTCTCTGGTTATTTTTCAAGGTGGAGCCCTATGTTTATATCCTATCATTTATGTTTGTATGAAAACAAAAACAGTATGTTCCCAAGGCTCTCTGACAGTTCTAGAAGCTGTCACTCCATATGCGGCTAAGTGATGTTGCTTCCAGAAAGAGCCTTTGAAATCAAAGCCTTGTGATGGTGCTGTTTCACATCCAGGATACCAGATGCCAGAACTGTGTCAAGGGCTTCAGTCAGAGCACAAAGCAGGATCAAAATGTCATCTCAGTGACAGCTGGGTGTATAGAGGGCTCAGGGCTGGAGGATGCAAGGGTAAGAC